TGTTTTCAGCTTCAATACTGAATTAAAGAGGCCTAAAAATATATTGGATGATTGGACTGAAGCCAGAGAACATGCCCCAGTTAATACAAACACAGCTGCTCAGAAGGATGGGTCTCTCTCTCATGCTCCATACTTCCCCTTGGCTCAACTTCAAAATATCAAGCGTTAAGCCCCTGTCCCGCCATTTTAAGCTTTCATGAGCTAGAAAGCAAACAACATAGAAAAATCACCTCCTTTGTAGGACAACAGCTCACTTTGGGAGAGTCAGAACCAAGCTTTGCTGCATGATGAGTGACTACTAAGTAAAGATAGCAAAGTTTTCATACAAACATTTGAATGACAGAAGTCACTCATTTGAGAGACGTTGCCATGAAACTATACTCTTTCCAATACAAAACTTGTTCCTTCACCTTGGATTTTTCAGCCTGCTGTGACAGTAGAAAACCATATAAATTCACATCTTCAACTTGCTAAGCATTAACATTCTTGTTAAGTGTCTTAAAGGTATACTCAGATTCCACTGAGACACTCAAAAATACTTCCATATAACTCCATAAACATCCCAGGACCGAGATGCATGTACTTTTCAGAAAACAGAATGTGTACCAAAGAGCTTTGGATCAAAAAAATCTGTCAGGGATTTTATTCCAAATTCATCCCCAAAAGCCCAGCTAAAAAAAAGACTGTCTAATCCAGTCTTCATATTCTATTGGTTGATAAATTGTCTTCTCTTAAGGGAGAATAAAAATCTGGTGAAACTAAAGGTGACTCTGATTGAAGTGACTATCATAAGGAACAATTTTTACATGATTTACAATGGAAAGGCATGCCAGAAAGCTTGTTAAACTTTCAAAGACATGCAAAGGCTGTACAGCAGATGCATGTTTCTTGCTTTTAGCGTCCTTTCATAAAAGCTATGTGACACCAGCACTGTCACCTTCCAGGGTCAGTAAGGCTGTCTCCACCACCTTGACAACACGAAGAAACTTTTTTTCATAGAATCAAAGTATCATAGAGTAGTTTGGATTGGAAGGGACATATAAAGGTCATCTAGTTCAACCCCTCTGCAATAAGCAGGGGCATCTTCAACTAGAACAGGTTGCTCAGAGCCCCATCCAATCTGACCTTGAATGTTTGCAGGGAAGGGGCATATACCACCTCTTTGGGCAACTTGTTCCAGTGTTTCACCACCACCCTTTCCCTAAAAAATATTTCTTCCTTATATTCCTCTCAGCTAAGTCTACCTTCTTTTAGTTTAAAACCATTACCCTTACAATAAAGTCTCTCTCCAGCTTTCTTGTAAGCCGTCTTTACATATTGAAAGAAAAAAAAAATGTGGTCTCACCTGAGCCTTCTCTTCCCCAGGCTGAACTAGCACAACTCTCTCAGCCTGTCCCCACAGCAGAAGTGCTGCAGCCCTCTGATTGTTTTTGTGACCCTCCTCTGGACTAGCTCTGACAGGTCCGTGTCTTTCCTGTGCTGAGGACTCCAGAGCTGGACGCACTACTGCAGGTAGGGTCTCACCAGAACAGAGGGGCAGCATCACCTCCCTCAACCTGCTGGCCATGCTCCTTTGGGTGCAGCCCAGCATACAGTTGGGTTTCTGGGCTGCAAGTGCACATGGCTGGCTCATGTCCACCTTTTCATCCACCAGCACCCCCAAGTCCTTCTCCACACGGCAGAGACAAATCCTCCCTCTCAATCCCTTTTTCCGCTGCCTGTACTGATACCAGGGACTGCCCTGACCCAGAAGACTTGCACTTGGCCTTGTTGAAACTCATGAGGTTAACGTGGGGCAACTTCTCAAGCTTGTCCATGTCCCTCTGATGGCATCCCTTCTCTCAGATGTGCCAACCACACCACTTAGCTTGGTGGTGTCTGCAAATTTGCTGAGAATGCCCTCTGTCCCATTACATCACTGATTAAGATATAAAACAGCACTGGTTGCAGTACACAACATGGACCCTTGAAAGACACCACTCATCACTGATCTCCATCCGACAATCAATTCTGTTCCTCCTTCATAGAAGCTGTTGGACATACACATGCACTAGTTGACCAAACTTGGTTGCAGCAGTTTTTATTTGGTGTGGCATTTTATCATCATATTCTACTTGCTGATTATAGATAAAACCCACTTGCACATCAGTGTACAATCGGCTGCTCTTGCCTGAGAATATTAATGTATTTCTCTGTCAGTGTTCATATCGCTATCTGTTCCTTGCTGGACATTTTAGCGCATTTCACAAAAGGCATTTGACTGCTTAACAGGGCAGTTTCACTGGAACAAATGCAAATTACTATTTACAACACATTTTTGATTCTCATTTCAGTGTCAACTGCTTCTTCTCTGTTTCTACTCTTTGTAAGACTTCACTTAGACCTTAGAAATGAGGTTTCACCTTATAAATTAAGAGTATGCATTCCAAGTCAAGCCAACATTCACTGTGTAGATTGTTCAAAGATGTTAGATTTCAGCATGGCCCTAATATTGAGCAAATTTACAGAAGACAGATGCTTGGAATTCTTGAACAACTGTGTCTTGTGTAATAAAATACCGAAGAATCAAGCTGGAAATGGAGGCATTGTCTGTATGATATCCTCCTGTCTCCACTTAGTTAAAATGAAATTGAGACAGTAAAGGAAAGCAAATGCATTTATCATCTAAAGCAACTTTCGTTCTGTTCATGAATCACTTCTTAAGGTATTTCTTTTTACAGAAATTTGGCATACTTAATGGAAATGAAGACCCAGAACAGCAACTGGATTAATTACGAATAGGCCTTTCCAGCCTGATATCTGAGCTGATAAAACAACTCCTTCGACCCTTAGTTTATATTAGCGCAAGAGCACTACTTTCAATTTTACCATGCTGATGACAAAAATCAGAGTCAAACAGTTCACATATGCAGTTCTGCTGAATCTGACATGCTTTACCAAATTGAACAATTATAAGGAATTCTTACCAGTCTCACATAGAGAAGTTTAGCTGAGGTACAGAACTATCAGCATGAAAGCTAGGAAAGTAACTTTATTTAAGGCATTCTGGACAGACTGTATTAAAAGTCTCCTACAGAATTCGGGTTAAACCCTGAGCAACTAAGTAGCTTTTTGTGTTATGAAAAAACAGTTTTTAGAACACTTGCATGTAACTATTCACTATGGAGCTCTTTTGAGCACCCATACTTCAGAAGCCTGTGAGATCTTTGAAAATGAAGGTTTGTTTTCATGGTTCTTATAACAGGATTTCTTTCAGCATAACTTACATTCTGTCTCACAACAGTACAGCTTTAATGTGATGTGTATTTCTCTTAAGGTGCTCAGTCAAGAAAAACAATTTTTTTTTAATGTTGTCTTTAAGTCCAAAATTAATATAAACCCATGCATCTTCCTTTAAACTGTAAATTTAGAATTAGTCTAAGCATATTTTCACATTTATTTGGGCTAAGAGTAGCAAGTTATAAGCCAGTGTTTCACAGTTGTGCCGCATAGTTCCATACCACAATCCAAATCTGTATGGTTCTTGAGATCTAGTATACACAATTAGAGCTTTAAAAAAAATAAAAATCCAAAAGAGTTTGAGAAACTGTGAACAGATAGCTTTTGTTGATTTTGCTGAATAACTAGTTGATCATCATCACTTGTTAATTGGCAGCTTCAAGCTTATCCATACATCCATAATACAAAGATACAAAAAACTGAGACACCTCACAAGCAACTACTCCAAGCATTTATAACTGTACACCAAGCTTCAGTGTAAAATGTCATGAGTTCTCACGATTTCAGCCCTATTTTGTCCAAAGCATTGGGGTTTTTTTTGGTTGGTTGGTTTGGTTTTTCGGTTCTTCTATTTTCTGTTGAAAAAATAAATATTTTAGCTTTCAAGGTACAGCACCTTTGCTATAAAGTTGGATTCCAAGCTGAGTAGATTCAATGGTTTTGGTCACTATCATGGAAATGTGACTAGACAGGCACACGAATTTCTTGGGTACTTTCTGTTTTCTCCTCTAAGCACAGCACTGGTGACAGCTTCTCTAAATTTAGATATGTACCTGGAACTAGAACTTTGTCTTTTCAAATCAGATCTGCCTCTACATTCTCTTTGGCATACCTACATAAAGATTAAACTACTGCTGAAGTACACTCTTCAAAGCAGTATTCTCTGAAGAAAAATAATTCTCTAAAAACAGTTTATTCTAAAAATTGGCACATCTATGAAAGATTCCTCTGAAAAGATTCTATTATTATGAAATGTAATATCTCTAAAATGTCCAAGTTCTCAGTTCTGAAGTGTATGCCACTGAAGACTGCTCCACATCATGTGAAAAAAGATGCAATGAGCAAGAAGCGGCAGATTTTCAGCAGATAAAGAGTTTCAGTGCCTCTGGTATTACAGAACCATAGAATCATATAGGTTGAAAAGTACCTTTAAGATAGAGTCCAGCCATTAACCTGACACTGCCAAGTCCACCACTAGACACTGTCCCTAAATACATCTTTTAAGTACCTCCAGGAATGGTGACTCCACCACTTCTGTGGGCAGCCTGTTCTAATGCTTGGTAATCCTTTTTTCTTCCCCGCTGACTCATCTTTCAGCACATGAGGATGGCCCTATGTGACCATTCTGAGGCACTTCTGTGATTTCCAAAACATCAATAACTTGTGTGTCTTTGCTGTCGCATGTATCTTCATCCCCTACCTCCACGGAGACAGCAGACTGAAGGACCTCGCGAGCACACTGTCCCTCTAGCATTGACATGCTGACTGCAGGCTTATCTCTAGTGAGCCTGATTTTATCCCTCTCCCCCTTCAAATCTAATTTAAAGCTCTTTCAATGAGCCCTGCAATCTCCTGCGCAAAGCTCCTTTCCCTCCTTTGAGACGGGGATACTCCATCTGACACCAGCAGCAGGCCTAGTGTCGTGTAAACTGACCCATGGTCAAAAACCCCAGAATTCTGCAAGTGATGCCAGGCTTCTTCCCCAGTAGCACCAGAGGTAGTTGCGATAAACTAGCACTGGTATTTATTAATATCAGGCATAATAGGGCTGAACTCATGAGAAACAAGGTAAATGTACTGTTCAATATTCTTTTTTAAAAGGAAGTTTGGCTTTGAAAAGTAAAAATATTCATATGCTTGGATAAAAGCACAGGTGGAGATGTCTAGTCCCAGTCAAACTGAAAGGTAACTACAAACCACATGTATATCCCCTATGTAATATGAAAAACAGCTATATCAAATGTTTGCAAATAAAGTGGCAAAGTAAGACAAAAGTGACAACAAAACCACTTAAATGTTTCTACTTAGTTACCTGTAAAGATTTTTAAAAGTGCCAGGTAATTCACTTCTTTTTAAAGAATAGAAAAATATGAAAATTATTTACTTAAGTAAATGTAGAAATCTAGACCAGTGCAATGTGAATTACAACAGTTAATTCAGTTATTTTCCTAAAGGCATTAGTTCAGTATATTTTCATGGTTTTACAGCACAATGTGATTAAACCTTACTCAGATGATGTCCTTATTTGGTACGTGCTATCATGAACACCTGGCAGTGCAAATCCATGCTATCCAAATGAAACATAAGAATAGATGGGTGAAGGGTGAGAATGGAGGGAAGAGGTGAAACAAAAGATAGATCAGAAAAATTAACAAAGCTGATTGTTTCATTTTGAAACTATCTTTTCAGCATGTAAGCATTTAAAGTTATCATAAATACAAAATGTAGTAAACATCACTATAAAAATTTGTTGGTTTTAACTTACAAATCCAACATGTGCATTTAGACATCTGAACACTAGCTTACAAAACATGTTCCAAAGGCAAACAACAACACAGCAGGATACAGCCCTATCCTCTCCTCACATGCATTTCTTTAAACAAATTACTCTGAAATACAAACATCTTCAAAGGTTATGACCATCAAGGATTTTAAGCCACTTATTCTGTTTTCTTTGCCTGTCTTTTCTTAACACCATTATGGTGCTGTTCAGAAGATCGGTCACAGACTGAAGAGCCATTGGAAGATGCAGCACCTTCACCCTTCATTTTGGATGGTGCCTTTTGCAAGCCAAAGAACATATGACCTAATGCAGCCTCAAGGGGAGCAAATGGAGAAGCTGCAGATCTTGTCAGCATCATTGTTACCTATGAAGAACAAGGAGCAAGTTACAAGTTTTAATGATTCCTTATCGACTGAAAACAAGTTCAAAGCTGAATAGATGCATGGCATTTCTAACTTTCTACACAAGCATGAGGCCATACCACCAAGAACTGAAACACGTTCACTTTAGCTTGAATTGATCAAAGAATGCCTTTCTTTCTGACCTGTTTTCTTCAGAAAGCTATATAAAAACAATGCACACACAAAATTTTCTGTCAGTTTACTGAAATCATCCTAAATCATACTTAATGTCATACAACTAAAGTGAAGAACAACTTTTATGTGTAAGTTTGTACTTTGTTCAAACTGAAAAACTGTAAACAGAGTGGCTATTTCAATTTAAAGAATGTAATGTGTAAGCACCTAAATATATACACACAGCCAAACTTTAGTTAAAATTCCAGACAGCCACTCTCATTCCATAAAGTTGAGAGATTTCGGTGGAAATACCTTACAATACGTAACTTAGAAACAGGATAGAATAATCTGTTTTGTAGATCCAGGTACTGGACAAGTATATGGCATATAAACAAGGACATGTTTATATGGCAACCACTTCTACAGTTTTTAAAGACATGAAAAGTTGATACTACTACAGTACTACGCACAGTCTGCAACTGTTTCTTTATTACTGAAGTGGATGCTCAAGTTCCTGTTTGTCAGTATGACCACCAGTTTAAGAACTTAATTCCTTCAGTGCAGCCTGACAGCCAGCTTCTGAAGACAGCTGTAATTTTCACTTCCAAAATAATATTCCTTTCCTTCTCTATTCCCACCGTCTCCTTTACTGGGCTAAGTGGAGTCTCATAAGCATCAGCTTGAAGCCTTGGCTCCCTGAACCCTAACTTCTTTAGAATTAAACTTGTCAGCTACTTCACAGAAAGGAGACTAACAACCACCACTTTAAGACGGTCTCCAGTTTCTTCAGCGCCAACTCTGAAGCTCTTAAAATTACCATATATCTACTAACACAGAGACTACACTTTCTTATTAATTAATAATCCTGAAGACAGGCACGATCCTGGAAATGAAAAAGTGGAGGGACTGAAGGATTCAACAGAGAACTAGTATCTATTCTATTGTAAAAGTAGTTATAGCTACTTCAAAGTTGTTTTGATATGCTTTCTCTTCCCACCTAAACACTTAGTTGCAAACACTTTAAACTAGATGAGAACCTAGTTGGCTTATTTTGCAAAAGCACAGACAACTGCACAGATTTAAGGAAGGCATTAAGCAGCTAGCAAAACACAGAGAACAAGTATCTTACTACAAGCATAAGCTTTGTTTGAGATTTATGGACATACAAGCCTGACATATCAACTGCTGGGTTCCAAATTCCTGAAATTTTATTTTCTTTCCCTTCCTGCTCTCTCACCCTGCCAACAGTATAAGTAACAGATCTTCTGTTCTGCTCACACATTGAAGACTAAACACACATTTCACACTTCAGTAGAAGCTAGCCTTCCCACCCAGAACCATGCATTCTAACTTGCAGTAGAATGTTTGAGGGCATGTTTTTCATATAAGATAATGAAATAAAATATTTTCTGTTCTTCAGTTATTTGCAACACTTTCACATTCTTACCTTGGACACAACAAGAAAGATGGTGTATAAAAACATGAGGTTGTGCCTTGCTATTGGCAAGTACTGGCTGTGTTGCAGGGTGAAAAGAACTGCTCCTATCAAAGTTACCTTCACAGGGCTGGAAATAAAAAAATGCAAGTTAATTTCGCTTCTCTACAGTGAAAAGAATAATGCTCTTAGTGTGCAAAATAATTATTTCTAAATAGAACTAATGAAAACTTTTGGTAACAGTTGCTAGGTCCAAAACCCAGCTATGATTAAACTAAGACTACCTTTATACATACTATTACTATGCTTTCTGTCCATAATATGGACAAGCATCAAATTCAGCACTACTTTAGACACCCACCAAAAACACATTTGAGAAATCCTGCTCAAATCACTGCCTCTGTTCAGACTTTATACATCAGTTTGCTCCCTTTCTTCCTCTCCCAACATATCTTACTGAAGAGTTAAATCACGAAGCTTGCAGTGCTCTGGCTAGGCTTAAAAATAGGTTCCTCTACTATTCAGCCCTATTCCAAGGGTTTGCTTAAAATAACTGGACACTCTGGCAGTTACAGGGTTTTAGCTTATGCTTGGCCTGAGCCAGGCCTATGTTACCAGGTTTTCCCAAGCATAGCTGTGTTGACATGAGCGTGCAAACATTTACATATTCTAGCTATCTCACTATGGTGGTAAATCCATTGCAATGTATACAGTCAGGAAACAACAGAACTTTCATCAATTATCTGAAGTCATCTGAAGAGAGAGCATTAATATACTGGAAGAAATATTCTCTGCTTTCTTGATCTGCATCTACATGTGACATGTACAGGTGACATTCCTGTTATCACAGAACATCTCATTGTAGACACATTTTTCACTGTCTTTTCAGTAACTCCAAGATTTACTGCATCAACTTCCTGCTCAGAAAGTCAAAAAAAAACAACTCTGTATACAAGCATTTTATCCATTCAACTTTGTAACTTCTGTTCAATATTCTTCAGCTTCACATACTAAACAATTTTTAAAAATCCTTTTTGAGTTACTCTGAACCACATCCACCACGGAAAAGGACAATATATACAAACAGTGCCACAGTCAGTAAGCATTACTGTAGTGTTGCACATGTATTATTTGGGTTTGCAGTGCCATTATTGACAGTGTCTTCTTCCTTTTGGAAGCTTGCTTTCAAGACTGCTACTTAGGCACTGAAAAAGGGAGAGAAATTACAAATACCTGGAATTTCAGAAAAAGCCAACAACCAACAAAAGCCATAAAAACTTGAAATATTGCCAAAGAAAACGTTATAAATATCTCTTCTGTTATTCTGTTCCTAAGACTGGCTGCAGAAAAACAAGCTAACTTTAAAAAATAAGTAATTTCTAAATTGCTGAGAGTAACATAGGAAACATCAAATGAATTTTAGGAAATTACCACAGTGAGCTTATCTTGACTTACAATAATAGCTTGCAGCTTTCTAGCCTGCCTCAATTTTCATTTTACTGTACTAACTAAACTGGGAGGCATGTAATATTCCCATTCTTTGCTTCTGCAAGAGAAGTAGGATTTTCTATTTTGGAGTTTATTTTTACTATATTGACCAACCAGTGTGCAACTTCTCAAATAACTGATATCTATGGAGGAAACAGTGCTGGCAAAGAAAGTAAGAATGATAACGCTTAAAGGAAGCCATCTTAGTGATGCTCAGAACATGCACCAAAAGTGCAGACTTCATTTGGATACTTCTGGTACTGCTGTCCTTTTATTCTGGATAGAAGACCATGTCCCTGTAAAACAAATTAAGTCAAAACTGCTTTCCAGTCAGTCCTACTGACTCAATACTGCTTTTTGATAAATAATTTTTGTTGACTTGTTTTCCCATTTGGTGTTCTTGTGCTGTGAACCTAAAATTATTAAAACATCTAATAAAATTAACGACGATCACTCACTAATCTCTCACAAGATACACACCAAAAGATTGAATAGAAACATATCTTTTAATCTGAACCACTAAAAGTGAGTGCCAGCACAAGGAGTTAGCAAAACAAGAGTTAAGGTGTTGCAGACGTTTTAAAAAACTTACTAGGACATCTTCAGTAGTTCATTGGTTTCAGGCTTCCATACTCCTCTCACCAGCTGCTCAAAGTTGGAAATTAGGCCACCACCAGCTCCTGAAACCACAGAGATTTACCATAAGACTCCTCTGACTGCTGCCACTACTGCACAACCTATTATTGCACCCAGCAAAACGCGTTACACCAGGTGCCAAATGTGGTACCCAAAGCTCAGACTTAAAGTGACTAATCCAATCTTTTACACGTGTGACCTGAGCAACTGACATGAAATCTCAGAGGTTTAGCTACTTAGTGAGAACCTCAGGTTTACCTTTATGTGATAGCATCTGAACTGATGCACTAATCACTAGAAGCAAATGCCTGAATTGCCAAAGTAAACCTCCAGAGAGGCTTATATAATTCCATTCTTCACATCATCATGTAAGCACAGACTGTCTCTATAAACTATAAAAACCCTATGTGAGAAAAGTGCGTATGTATTTGTACATTAGAAGAATACAAGACATGAGGATGTGCTGGACACTCTAGCCAATGAGACTGATCTGTATTATAACCTGGGAAAAGAAAATGGTAACAGACGTTGTTTCCCAAAACAAAAACAGAATCAAGAAAATAAAACCCAAGATCTGCACTACTACTTCCTGAAGTGGTTCTAATGTGACAACAAATACAGCTGCTAGGAAGGTAGCTTCCAGATTAGTATTTCAAACAGCAGGCAGGCAAGAATTATGGCAGGATCAGGGAGCAGAATCTCCTGGAAATCATGCTAAGGCATATGAAAAACAAATAGGTGGTTGGTGACACCCAACATGGCTTCACTAAGGGCAAAACATGTCTGACCAATTTGGTAGCCTTCTATGATGGGGCTACAGAATGGACGGACAGGGTCAGAGCAGTTGATGTTGTCTACCTGGACTTGTGCAAAGTATGTGATACTGTTCCACATGACATCCTTGTCTCTAAACTGGAGGGACATAAATTTGATGGACAGCCCACTCGTTGAGCCATTGACCACATGCAGAGAGCTGCGGTCAATGGCTCAATGTCCAATTGGAGACGGGTAACAAGTGATGTTTCTCAGGGTTCGGCTTTGGGATCGATCCTGTTCAACATCTTTGTTGGCAACACAGACAGTGGGATTGAGTGCGTCCTCAGTAAGTTTCCTAGTAACACCAAGCTATGTGGTTCGGTTGATATGCTCAAGGGAAGGGATGTCATCCAGAAGCATCTGGATGCCTCTTGACATGCTTGAGAGGTGGGACCATGCCAACCTCATAAAGTTTAACCAAGCCAAGTACAAGGTCCTACACCTGGGTTGTGGCAATCCTAGGCACAGCTACAGGTTGGGTGGAGAAGGACTTGGGGGTGTTGGTCGATGAGAAACTTAACATGAGCCAGCAGTGTGTGCTCACAGCCCAGAAAGCCAACCGTATCCTGGGCTGCATCAAAAGGAGCGTGACCAGTAGGTCAAAGGAGGTAATCCTGCCCCTCTGCTCTCATGAGACCTCACTTGGAGTATTGTGTGCAGTTCTGGTGTCCTCAACATAAAAAGGACTTGGAGCTGTTGGAACAAGTCCAGAGGAGGGACACAAGGATGATCAGGGGACTGAAGCACCTCCTGTATGAAGACAGGCTGAGGAAGTTGGGGCTTTTCTGCCTGGAGAAGAGAAGCTGCGTGGAGACCTCATAGCAGCCTTTCACTATCTGAAGGGGACCTATAAGGATATTGGAGAGGGGCTCTTCATCAGGGGCTGTAGTAATAAGTCAAGGGGTAATGGTTTCAAATTTAAGCAGAACTTCAGATTAAATATAATAAAGAAGTTCTTTACCGTGAGGGTGGTGAGGCACTGGAACAGGTTGCACAAAGAACTGGTAAATGCCCCACCCCTGGTGGTGTTCAAGCCCACACTGGACAGAGCCTTGGGCAACATGGTCTAGTGTGAGGTGTCCCTGCCCATGGCAGGGGGCTTGGAACTAGATGATCTTAAGGTCCTTTCCAACCCTAACCATTCCAAGATTCTATCATTCTAAGAAGGTTCACTCCTATGTTTAAAATCAACTAATGTTACAACTGAAAAAGCTAATGTAACAAGCTCTCTCCTTCAGCCACATGCAAGGAAAACTTGCAAGCTCCGGGGAAATATGCTGTTGGAAAATTTAGTAATAGCTCTGAAGCTACATGGGCTATCTCTTCATTAGGATCAATAGCCCATCCTACAAGTCCTCACAAGACCTTCTGGAGGGATAAGATGAAACTCCCTGAGTCATTCAATGTCACTCTTAATCTAGGCAGAAAAACTGCTCTACAGGCTTTTCCCTTGAGGGGATAACAGACTGTATTAGGACTATCGTATCCAGCACAGCAAGGAATGATGTTACAATTATGCTGAAGGGCTAGCCATTTAAATGACACTCCAAAACATCACAGTCCATCAAAACAAAATGTTATGCATGTTACCTCTGGCCCAGCCCACAGCTACCATGACAAGCCAGGCATCTTTGAAGTGACTGTCTGCATGCGCAACGCCACCTGTTATCTTCCACGTTCTAGTCACTTCTTTCATTCCTGCAACCAGAAGCCGGAGAGGCAGAAAGGCAAAGCACCGACAGAACAAGTCTTGTGGGCAGTAAAACACAAAATACCTGCAAATCATGAGAAAACCCATTAGTGGCATTCAAATGCTTTTGATAACGATTTCCCTTTCTAATTTTTGGAATATGACTAGCAATGCGTGATATACTACTGATAACTTACTTTCTTGTGTGACAGACAAAACAAATTTGAAATGCTTTTGAGCATGTTCAAGCTCTTGCATCAAAATCATCATACATTACTTGAAATTGTTCTTACTGATCTATTGTCCCAGAGGAAAATCCATTAAAGTACACGAGAAACAGCTTTAAATTTTACATAGTTTTACAGCTTACATATAATGTTTTTATAACTCAAATTATTAAATTAGTGCCTGACTGACTTTGTGTGGTTTGGGTTTTTGTGGCTTAATTTTTGTTTGGTTGAGGCTTCTTGTTTGTTTGGTTTGGGTTTAATTTTTTAATAGGATTACAACAGGGTGGTAAATTACATGCTGACACCCGTCTTTCAAATTGATACATACAAGGAATTATATAATTTCAGCAAGAATGCCTCCGCTAGCTAATGTCATGCTAGATGAAATCTACATCTATTTTCAAACACATTTCGCATCTTAGTAACCACCAGTTCTAGCTTTTCCAGATTGCCAATTACAAGTGTATTTCTTTTTTGAAAGCACTGGCAGCACAGTACACAAAATGTAATAATATCTTTTATCAACTTGCTTTAAAAACAAAGTAAAGATGGCTAACTATAAGATGACAGTAAATTTTAGAAGATTAGATTATGTGGTGTTTTATTTTATCTCTTCGATTATAAACAAAAGGCAGTTCTTACAGAAAAATTCAAGGTCTCAAAAAATATTCAAGATTCACTATCCAGATCATTTCAGTACATGAATAAGAGAGTAAAAATTAATTAAAAGCAGAGAAATGCTTTAAAAAATGGGAAGGGTACTTTCCATTTCCTTAAAAAAAAAAGGAAGGGAAAAACAAACAAACAAACAAACAAATAAAAAAATAAAGAAGAAAACCAAAACCCAAAACCACAAAAACATACTTGCCTTACAGCTTAGGCTTCTGAGATCAGTCCTGTCCACCAAGAATTTCTAAGGCTGTATCCTTCTCTTGTTTACTCAGGCTGCAATCAAAGATGATCCTCTCATATCTAGTTTACTTCATTAGCACTACTAGCCAACACCACAACTAAGAGGAGTTACACCTCATGGTTACAGATTAGAAACCAGGACGGCACACAGGGTTTGGGGTTTTGGTTTGGTTTTGGGGGGTTTTCTTTTTTAAAAAAAAAACAAACAAAAAACAAAGAAGCTTATCCTTTACAGCAGAATGCCAAGAAGCTTCCTCCCCAGACAGGCAAAGTTTAGCGGAAGCCCTATCCTAGTCATGCATTTTCTTCTTTTGCAGCAGATACAGTACCTTGCTGCTGCAAACATCCAAAGCACTTTCAAGACCTCCCAGACTGGAGCATGCAAAAGCCAATTTCTCACATACAAGAAACTTACTGGAATTTACATAATACTAATACTGCTCTGGTGTTAAGTTTTAGCTTTAATTTTGAACTACTTATATTCTTCCTTTTTCTTTTTTAAAGCCAATTGCCAAGCTTCAGTTGGTATGAAGTCAAAGGTTATAAGGAAGTTCTTCACTGTGAGGGTGGTGAGGCACTGGAACAGGTTGCCCAGAGAACTGGTAAATGCTTCACTCCTGGCAGTGTTCAAGGCCATGCTGGACAGAGCCTTGTGCCATGGTCCAGGGTAAGGCATCCCTGCCTATGGCAAGTGAGTTGGAACTAGATGATCTTAAGGTCCTTTCCAACCCAAACCATTCTATGATTCTATGATTCTGTGTATCAAGATCATATATTTTAATGGCCACTGCAAATAACCACTTAAGCCAGTACTCAACACATAGCACTACTCAGAATTAATTGCAGTATGTCGGTTTAGGTCCATGATGAACAGGGTAACGATTGAACCTAGCACTGCAGTTGCACCACGGCATTTTTTTCCTGAAACTTCTGCTAGCAATACTTGCTAACAGCAGATGTCGCTGTCCTACACACTATTTAGGAGCATTTCTCAAGCATGGCACAACCCCTTTTATTTTCCCGGTAATTTAATTTCACGTGATCTGGGACAGAGAATGAAAGTCATTATACTCATGAAGAGAGAACTTCGTAAAACTAGAAGCTTAAAAGGTTTCATAACATTCATAATTCCTCATTCATAGCAGTGCACAACATCATCCATGAGGATTATTTTTGCACAGCAGATCCCATTTGGCAAAGTTAAGTTCAACAGAACCCATGTTCTGTTTACATGTACCCCTAACTCGTGTCATTTCTTAAAATAAGCAGCAGCATTGCCCACATCAGACTAATATGAATCATAAGCAGATTTTGTAAGCTTTATTAATACCACACCATATACTGTGCATTATTCATTCCGCCTATTTGCCTAAATGAAATCTGTCGGCTTATACCGCAACATGAGGACCAGAAGGCTAGATACACACAGACAAATAGAAAGACTTACTTTCATTTTAAATAAATTTGCAATTATAAAACCTAAGCAGCTACAAAGAACAGATACTAAAGGATTTCAAGCAGGTAACATTCTTTGAAGACAGGAATTGAGATTTTTAAATTCGAAAAGCCACTGCTGCTCACCAACTTTGTTAAATTTGAGGGTTTCTTCAAAGACCACTTTCTGTAACAAATGAACTCCACTGGAAGGCAATGTTTATATGAGCCTCCAATGCTTTTTTAAAAATTCCAAAACAGGCCGAATTGCTGCCTTGTTCACATACATGACTTCTCATTCAGATCCCTACTGTCTTCCACTACAAGGACCACCCATTTGGGAAAAAGCAAAATATAGAGTAGAGAGGAAAAAAAAAAAATAAAAAAAATGTCAGGAAGCAGAGGAAGCAGAAACTAGAGAAAAGGAAAGAAGATCAGTGTCTTAGACCCAAGTTACAGAAAAGTTCAAAATTTTTTACATCAGCCAGGTTCTGGTCTTCAAGAGCTACTGCTGAAAAACTAGACTACGTTTATGACTTACCTATATCCACAAAAGTCCACGTTATTCCAACATTATTCAGCTGTTGAACTAGGAATACTACAAAAAAGTTAGTCTAGTGACTAGCATCTGGTTAGACACAGCCTGTAAGAGTTGTTCTCTCGAGCATTTTATTCCTATAGAACAGGATCATAATAGCTATTCTGCTGCACTGACTTTCTGGATGAAGAGACAGCAACCAAATCCATAATATTTTTAATTTAATCTTCAGGTTTATGTGGAAGCTTGATGTTGTATCAGTTTATAAAGTATAGTTTCATCAGAATCAATACTATTCATCTAACTCAATTGTGGCTGCTTACCAGACTGAAGATGCCAGTAGAATATTTGTGCCCTTTGCCAGAAATCCTACTGGAGGTTCTGCAAGCATCAATGAAGACAAAACTGAACCACCAAAGCAATGAAGCATAGCACTAAACCAGCAGGCAATTGGACTTCGGACTGACACTTCCACGGCTCCTGAAACAAAAGTAAAAGATGCATAAATAGAAACTGTATAAAAACAATTGAGAATCACACCATGTTTTAAAATTCAGTATTTTTCAAATCATTGGTTCCTCTAGGTAATGAAAAATTCTGAAGAATTCTGTGGGTTTTCACAGGAAAAGTCTTCAGAAATACAAATTTCAGAGTACTCTAACTTAAGAATATGCTTAAGTGAAATTAAATAAATGAAAGAGTGACATTGTGTACTCTGAACGTCTTTTGTGGGCTGGTTTATTAACTGTCCGCTACCAAGAATAAAAAGCTTTCAGAGCATGGGTAAGAGGTCTCATTGTTAATAATCTGGCATAGATTTATAGTTGCTTTCAAATTGGTATTAAAAATACACAAGTGGCATTGCTGACCTAGATCAGATTGGTATTGATTACTTTTGGGTGGTTATTCTACAAATTCCATTTCTGCTTTTGAATCCAAGGTCACTGTTTTCCCTTTTCATCATAACACCCCACTGTGTCTGCTGACCAAAGTGAAAGCAGCATCCAAAACAATTATTTACTAGTTTCACTTGCTATCCTGAACACAGAAAAAAGATCACCTGAAGCCATAATAACACATCTAAGTTTCCTTTGTTACTAAAAGCTTCACAGTTCAGTTTGTTATCTTTGAAATGAATTATTTTTTTAAATTACAATTGAACTATGTCAAAAGAGTATTCTATATTAAAAGATTATGCTGAGGGCAATCAGAAGCCTTAACCAGTTTCAGGGGGAAACAACACTTAATCAAAGCCAGAAATATTCTCAAGAAATTGTTTTGACTATTTCCTTCTATTTCAAAAGTCTAGTGTTGCCCAAATTTCCCCTTTACACAAATGCAGCGCTCTGTTTGCCTGAACTAGTCTCCATAGTCCAAAGGCTGAAGTTCACAAAAGCAGAGATGAAACCTAGTGTCTGCCCCAAAATGCAGTTTGACATATGTTCCCAATTCAGAGGAGAAGGTTTTGTTTTTTTCAGGCATTTCTGTGGGAAAAAGAGCTTCTAACCGAAGATGAAAGCTCAAACGTATCAGAGAAAATACAGCACTCTCAATACAATTCACTTCATAGAAGAATATTAACATGATTGTTCCAGTTTTACTGGTGACATAGCTATCATGTATTCCAGCACTATCTAAATTCCTATGTAACGGCGAATTTTTAAAAAATGAGCACTCACAAGTACTACAGAATATCTGAATATAAAATAACATCTGTTTTTTTTTAACTATTGTGTAATTTATTTTCCATACTGCAGTACCAGGTGCTCCAAGTCAGTTGTGCTCATCTTTGTGATTGTGTACTATCCCTTCTCCAAAGCAGCTATCAACTGTTTGTGTGCATAACCTTAAGACTCTTGAGAAAATTTTAAAGCATGCTAATGTTACTTAACTGCAAAAGTAAAAATATAAAGCATACCATTACATCCAGATCCAATATTAATGAATGTGGATCTATTTTCACCAACATATTTGAAAAGGGTAAGACACTTACCATACAGTAACAGTTCATGCTTACTACATGGAGGTTTCCTCAAGAAAAAAAAAGTAAAAAAAAAAAAAAAATGCTGACAGCCATTGCACTAAAAAAAAACAAAAAAAAACACCAAAAAAAACCCAACAAAACTATATCAAGGAGAGATTCACTGGTCCAAAAGAACTACAGTAGGCTCCTCCTCACGTGTAATAATTCTCTTGTTTGATGACATGGACACAAGTACTACTACAGAACTACTTTAGCTTGAAAGGACTAAATTCCCTTTGATGCAACAAGAGAATATCCAACTCCCATGTTTGTCAGTACTCTGTTGAGTAATTCCACTAAATGCTGCTGTGGCATTATAACACAAAGTGACCTTTTATTCTTCACAATAAAAGAATATTGAGAAGAAATATCCCAAACTTTACAGGACAATGAGAAAACCTGGCTAACAACAGGAGTGACTGTAAATCACAAGTGAACATGGGCTGGAACTGGGGAGTACTGCCAATAGATCAGTTGTGCTATGCAGAAGCTTTAACTCTGGACAAACAATTTTGTTTCTCTCCTACACACTTTGTTAAAATATTCATGTGACTTTTCACTTCCTATACCAAAGTCCGGATTAAAAAAAACTTAATTAAAAAAAAAAAACAAAACAATGAAATATTGCAGTTGTTCTAAAATTAGTTAGCTATCTGCTCTCTTTTCAAATCCATTCCCCTGCCTTTCAACATCACCACTTTTCTGCTCTTCCTTTTACCCAGAAATAGCAGCAAGTGGTTGCAGTTCTGAGGACACAGATAGGAGTTACTATTATTATTACAGATTGCTCTCTGCGAACAAGCTCCACAACAAAGCACATAAATTTATTCATTAAGCTATTATGTGTAAAAGAATAAAAGACTTTACTGGACTTCCAAGATCTTTTTGTTGGTCAATGTTAGAATTTTCTTAGCTCAAATACCATATTTAACAATTCATACCTTCTTTCCAACAAGGAACATAACCAACTTAGAAGGCAATGAGACAAAAAATGCTGAACCCAATTTAAAGCTGATCTTAGTGTTGGTAACTAAATTATAACTGGAATGTAACCTTTCAGAAAACAAACTCAGTTTTAAGTGGGTCACGTATTTTTAAACAACTGGTCATTTATATTTGTCCTCTGATGCATCCTGTAAAACTAATGAGGCATCATAAAACCATGCAAAACATGATCTGCCAAAAGGCCATTAGCCCTGCAAATGGTATACCTTAGAAAGGAAAGATAAGGTTTCAAATGCAAAGACTGTTGTTGAATATAGTTTTAAACATTGTTTCTACACAATAGTTAAAAAAAAAACGAAACCAAAACCCAAACTCTTGCCAGCAAACTATTTCTGTCAGCAGGATAAGATCTGCATTAATCTTTTCAAAAGGTTCCAAACAGGTAATAAGGAACACATACCCATACACAACTAAACAGCAAAACAGAAGAACATATAGAAGTTTTTTCTAGCACCCCTGCTGAACTATAAATAATAACATCAATTAAGCGAAAGGATTTATAGTCAGATTTAATTTAGCAAAACTATGCCAAAAAAAAAAACAAAACCAAAGCAAAACCAATTGTCTCCAAATCATCAGAATCATTTAATAGAAAACTTGCAAGAACAAAAACAGCACATTCCTTGCAAATATGACACATCTTCAACCCTGAACACCTTTTGCTGTTCCTTTGTCCCCAAAAAAATAAAATTGCCCAAAATTGCCAGTTCTACAACTGACCAGAGTTACAAATGAGCAACTCCTAAGCAATCCCAAATGAGCTAACCAAAACTCATAGTTTAAAACATGTGGAAAGCAACGTGGAAAAGCAACAAGGCAAAGTGCCGGGTCCTGCATTTGAGCCACAACAACCCCATGCAATGCTCCAGGCTTGGGGAAGAGTGGCTGGAAAGCTGATTGGTGGAAAAGGCCCTGGGGGTGCTGACTGATGGAGCTGAACATGAACCAGTTTGTGCCCAGGCAGCCAAGAAGGCCAATGGCATCCTGGCCTGTATCAGCAATAGTGTGGCCAGAAGGGCCAAGGCAGTGATCATCCCCCTGTACTTGGCACTGGTGAGGCCATACCTTGAATCCTGTGTTCAGTTCTGGGTTCTTTACTACAAGAAAGACATTGAGGTGCTGGAACAGGTCCAGAAAAGGGCAACAAAGCTGGTGAAGGGCCTGGAGCACAAGCCTTATGAGAAGCTGCTGAGGGAACTGGGAGTGTTTAGTCTGGAGATGAGAAGGCTCAGGGGGGACCTTGCAACTCTCTCTAACTACCTGAAAGAAGGTGGTAGTGAGGTGGGGGTCAGTCTCTTCTCTCTCGTACCAAGCGACAGAACAAGAAGTAACAGCCTCAAGCTGCACAAGGGGAGGTTTAGACTGGATATCAGGAAAAAATTCTTCACCATAAGGATGCTCAGGCATTAGAACAGGCTGCCCAGGGAAGTGGTGGAATCACCATCCCTGGAAGTATTCAAAAAACATCTAGATGCCCTCAGTGACATGGTTTAGTGGTGGACTTGGCAGTCCTGGGGTAACAGTTGGACTTCATGATCTTAAAGGTCTTTTCCCATGGCAGGGGGGGTTGGAACTAGATGATCTTAAGATCCTTTCCAACCCTAACTATTCTATGATTCTATGATTCTAGTTGATTCTATGATACGATTCTATATTGGTTATCACTGCTGTAGTTTGCCAGCACTCCCAAGTGAGCAGGAAAATCCAGCTTTTAGCCATTTAGGACTCGCAAAGTCCCAGTTAGTGTGAGTCCATCCATGATACAAATACCCTAATCCGATTTTAAGAGGGTCGAGTGGGGGTTGATATTTTAATGAGACCAGTAATCTGGGATAATCTGGCTCTGACTTGAACACATGCTTCTTGTATCACCAACCAATTAAGGTTACCCAGCTACTATTCTGTGAAATATAGCTACTGTTTCAAGTTTCCAGAAAGAACACACAGTAATGCCTAGATAAAATAATCAATGATAATAGATCCATCCTGAGTATTTCATAATGACTGTTTTTTCAGTTTCAATTTAATGCTCAGTTCGAGCTGCTTGCAAGGGAGCAGCAGACCAGCATGCAGTCACCTGAATCACAGTTATTAATGCAAAGTATTAGAGAATACTCAAGAGTTCTGAACTTTCCAGCTATTCAGTCAAGAAGATTAAAAAAATTATTGGTACGGATCTGACTGGACTTCTGACAGCAATTCTACTGTCCAGAAACGCTGCCTCCAAAAAGTTATCCTGAATCTAGCAAAGCAGAGACACTCCTCTCATACTGGTCTTTAAGTGTGTCCACTCCAGAGGAAAGCCTAAAGGAAATGCATGATAACGTCAAACACCCTTAGACAGGAAATCCCTTTTTTTAATGGAACAGTCATATTACACAGTGCTCCAAGTCAGCACCTAGAAACAGTATCAGCAGTAGTAACAAAATTTGGTGAACATGCTAGCATACATAAGCATTTTGTATCAGTCTTCACATCTGACAAGTGCACTTATTTAGCAGGAAATGTACATTCACCTTAACAAGTATAGAAAGGGACAGAAGAACACGTTCTCACTAAACAAACAGCACAGAGCCTTAAAAAGAGCTCCCAAATCCACACTATAATCCTGAAAGCCAGCTTGGTTTCCTACACATTTATCAGCCAAGATGCAGAGTTACTGTAACTATCCAAAGCCACATCACAGGTAGTCATTCTAAATATTAAAACAAGGCTAGTCTCTACCTTTTATGACAACAAAAAAAAAAAAAACAAAAAACAAAAAACAAACAAAACAAACAAACAAAAAAAAAACAACAAACCAGGTTTGGGGTTAACAACCACAGTGCAAAAGATTTTCTAGAAAAGATGATGTAGAGATTGAAGTGTCATTATGTGCACTCATACAATATCCAAAATCCTATTACTGGGAGTGAAAAGCTTTCCTAATTTAATTTCACAATGTGAAAAGTTGCTAACACACAGCCTGCCCATTAGACTTCCCAGCTATGTTTCCTGGGAGACAGAATTGCTTTAAGAGCTTCCTGCATATCCAGGGCATGTGAATTATATAAACCTATTAGTTGAGAACCTCTCTTCTCACTTCTCAGATGTGGCACCTGAGAACAAGTTACTGGCCTGTGATCTGCATTTATCCTCTGCGAGCATAATCCTAACTTCGGGCAGGTTCAGCCCTTTTATTCTTGTAACTTTTAAAACTCCCAACTGCAAGGTTTCCAGCAAAACTCTTGGCCGATTTCACCAGTGCCTCTAGTCCTGAGAAAGCAAGGAAAGTTTGGCGGGAGGCTTCCTATGTGGCTTCTGCAGCCAGTAAGACATTATTTACAGACAGATGGACAATGAACACTGGAGACAGTCTTAGGGACCGACAGAGAAGTCCCGGGTTCTGCTGCGGGGAGCGGCACAAGCTGAGCCAAGGCAGCAGCTCTGCGTGCAAAGCTGAAACTCTCACACAGGGCTGTCACCCCGGAGGCCACGAAGAGCGCTGACAAACCTCTCGCTACCTCAAACGAAACACAAGTCCCCCTGGAATTTTGTGAGTGTAGCACAGTAACAGCTTTAGCCACTCGTCCTCATTAAAAACAAATACAATTCAAAGGTTGTGAGTTAAAAAATAGTCCAAACCTCTCCAGCATCTTCTAGGTTAAAGATGCCGGAGACACCTGCGGCTCCCGCACAGACCCAGGGTCAAACGCCGGTCCCACTGGCCCCGCCCGGTCCCCCCCAGCCCATACATGCTCCCGGCACCCCGGCTCCCCTCAGGTACCCCCCGCCACCGTGCGCGGTGGCCACCCTTGCCCACCCGGGGCTAGGACGGCAAGAGAGTCCCCAGCCTCAGGCCTGGGGCAGCCGGGGTGCACGGAGGGAGACACGGGGAAACACGGGAGGACGCCAGGGGAACAGTGGGGAGCGGGGACAGCTCCGTCCCGTCCCGCCACGCCGACCGCTCACCCCGCTGCTCCTTCACCGCCATGACGGAGGCCACATAGTGCGCCAAGTCGAAGAATGGGAACATGGGCAGTCGCGAGAAGAGCAGCGGCACCTGCCACAGTTCCATGGCCGGGCGACAGCGAGACGGAGGACTCTGAAAAACCTACACAGCACGGCGGCGGCGCGGCCGCCTCAGCGGAAGCTTGGCCCCCGTCGGCCGCCGTCAGCGGCGGGGCGGGGCGGAGCGGGGCGATCATCCGCTTTCAGGCCGCCGGGGGACTGAGTGTCCGGGAGGAATGTTAGCTTAGGTGTCCGAGTATTTGGGCTCACCAGCGTTGGTGCTCCAGCATATGGAACATGTGGCCTTTCACGGCTTGATGTCATCTGTTTATCACATGCCTAATAATTACTGGGGTATTAACGTGTACTAGACCCTGGTCAGACCTCAGCAGAGACCCCTTTAATACATCTTTACATAGAATCACAGAATGGTTTGGGTTGTAAAGGACCTTTTGAGATCATCTCGTTCCAGCCCTCCTGCCATGGGCAGCGACACTTCCCACTAAACCATGTTGACCAAGGCTCTGTCCAACCTGGCCTTGAACGCTGCCGGGGATGGAGCATTTACCACTTCTTTGGGCAACCCGTTCCAGTGCCTCACCAGCCACACAGTACTTCTAACCTGAACTTCTCCTGTTTTAAGTTTTAACCCATTACCCCTTGTCCTATCACTACAGCTCCGAATGAAGAGTCCTTCTCTGGCATATTTGCAGGCCCACTTCAGATACTGGAAGACTGCTATGAGGTCTCCACTCAGCCTTTTGTCCAGGTTTCAGCCAGTCTTCATATGGGAAATGTTCCAGCTCCTTTATCATCCTCATGTCCTCTGGACTTGCTCCAACAGCTCCATGTCTCTTGTATGTTGAGGACATCCATTTTGATAGTGAAGGCTATTGTTAACGGTTTTGTTTTCTGCAGGTAGGTCTCTGACCAATTTTACATCAAGCCTACAGTATTTTCAGCAAAAAACAGTTTGCTCATGAGCTTCCCAAGTGGAACTTTTATCAGGTATCTAGTAACTCTGAGATACAGTACATCTGCGTTTTCTTTGGCCACCAGACTGGTGATAGAATCAAATTACATTGACGTGACACTGTTCTTGATGGACCCATGTTAGGGGTTTGTTGGTCTGCTAATTTTTTCAGCGTACTTTTTTTTTTTTCTTTTTTCCCCTGGGGATGCAAGTTAAGTTTGACTTGGTCTGTTTTTTCTACTAGAGAAAGGCACAATCTTTTTGCCTTTTCCATTAAATTTCCACAAGGTGGTGAAAAGAGCTGTTAATGGCTTCAAGAGCTGCACAGTATGGTGAAATTAATGAAGGTAAGTAGTCTAAAAACATACAGCTTCTGTAAGCTCTTTCTAACTTGTGCTTTGCCTACCAAGAACTAATTTCATGGGATAACTGGAATAACTGGAGCATCATTCTTCATAAAAGGTCTATGCAGGGAAAGATAGAAAGCACCTTAACTTTTCCCAGTATAGTTTTACCTTGCCATGAAGAGTAAGCCATTCTTTTAATTTATTTTCTTCTTATCAGTACCATATTCACAGAATAAGTTCTCCTTTTTCTCAATGCCTCTTCCTTTCTGTTTGTCCAGTGACTCTTTTTCTCCCTAACACTTGTGCCATATGGTTACGCCTGCTTTCTATTTTCCAGACATTTCCATCGTGCATTTTATCTACATGAAGAGGTCAAGATTTAGCAAAAGTGATCTCTTACTAGTCTTATTACTAGCATTTCTAATTCTTATTTTCTGTTGTGCTTATGCACAGACATGGAAACCACAGTTTGTTTTTCTAGAGCAGAATACTGCTTTGCCACGTTGACAGATGGTGAGACATAATAAATGAGTAAGCTGCATTCTCTGGCAGAAATCAGTTCAGCATGATTTTGTTTCCCACTGAACAGCAATATGTGTCTATGCAACTGCAACAACAGGAGAGTTACTGGCAGACTTACACAATGTAGTGATCCTCTTCCCATAGGCTGTAGAAATGCTAGTTTCTAATCCTTGCAGTACTGTTTTATTCCCTCTGAGTGGCATCAGGTTCACTGTTAGAAAGCGAACATGGTTCAGACTACCTTGTGTGTGATCATAGAAGGACAGGGAGAGAAATAAAAATGGCAATGAGGGCAACGAATCAATACTGATACAAAAGTAAATCATAATTTGAGCCAGCAGCATATTTTGCCTGATGGCAATGTCTGCACTGTAGCTACTGCCATGCTTACAATTCATGTAGGTACACTTAAATTCTCTAAAATGCCAGCAATGATATTGCAACTGGTGCTATCGTGTAGCATATTGGCAAGAGCTATCTGAATCTTTAGTTAGTCCTCAAATACATGCTGCATTTTCTTCCAGGGGGTCCTTAATGCACCTGAAGCATTGCTTTCCAAAGCATAGATAGCTAGTGTGAAACTGGATTTCCACAAGCTACATTCACAATAGTTAGGTGGGAAATGTAGGTAAACTGACACAGCTAAACTAAAAGGGAGGTCTGGTGGGTTTTCTACCTCCAGCACCAGCAGGAAATAAGAATAGCAGTTTCTAAAAGTTTGCTGATAACCAGGAAGAGATTCCTGAGATTTTTGTGCACTCAGTATAGCGTCTTAGCAGAGCGTAGGATAGAGGAACCCGCCAAGGAACACGGTCTGTGTAATAGAAGTAACAAATAAGAAAACTTAAAATTGGCCATTGATTTTCCAGCTATCCTAGATATTTCAGGAATAATTTAAAGGTAACAAAGGATACAAGCACCCCTGAAATAACCCTATTCATCCTTGGACCAAATACGCTGATGCTGAGAACTGCTGCAGTGTGAGAAATTGGTGTTAACGTGTAAGCTAGGCATATTATGTGTGTGTGACACAATTTTTTGTGGTTTGCTGATTTTGAACTGGAAGAACAGATACCCCATTCTTCATTTCTTCGGAGTAGGCTAATAAAAATAGCTGAGCACATTATGCATATAAAAAATTAAAGATAGACTGATTATTATTCTGCTGTCTTGCATGAGCATAAAGCTCAATATGAAAACAAAGCAGAAGCTTGAATGACTCTCTTGCCAAAGGAATGTTAGCATGACCTTAAAAAAACCCTCTGTAGACATATACTGATTAGCCACGCAACTTCCACATGCACCGGAGTATTTTTTGGCAGGATTAGTTGTTCTTTCCAAGAGGATGCTGATAAATTAATACAATTTGCTTTAGAAAACATTCCAGCTGTTCATGAAGTTGCCACATTTGTACTTCTGGAACAGCTGTGAAAGCCTAGGATGTTATATGCCTGTCAGCTATTCCTGTTGGCTGCCCTGCTGCATGTCGTAACTGATCCTGGATAAATAGTGGTTCTTGGGCCATTCTAGGCAAAGCTGACACCACCACATAACACCTGACAGTAACAAAGAAAGAAGTAATGGAGAGAGTTGGTTTCAAAGTATGTGCATGTCCACATATTGAAGCTCCGCAGAGCATGACATCAATAATCCATTACTTCCTCAATCTTACAGAACCTGTGGATAACGTGAACTAGAGCTGTCATACAGGGTCCATTTGTTGAGTTCATCTCATATGGCACTTATGCTAATTTAGTGTTTGAAAAGCTCTGTGTAACTAGCATAGATGCATGGCTGGTGAAGTTGCTGCTAAGTGTAGAATATGTTTATTTAGTATTTTATTTCGTAATGTCTGGGAACCTACACACATTGACCTGGAGTTCAAAGATGGTGCCTTAGGGAAAAAAAAAAGAAGGAATTCTTTAGTCATCACTATACCTCAAAACTCATACATCTGTATTCCACTTCCCAGATTAGGAAATTAGAAATATTCCTATTTTTTTGATTATTACATTTACTAAAATTTCTTAGGAGATCTCTCAAACTCACTTCTGTACATCAGAATCAAGACAGGTGAAATAGTAATCTTTTTAACAAATGAAAATGGACATTCCCATTGTCTGCTCTCATCCTGCCACGTTTTTGATTTGTTGTCATCTGCCACACTGCTATTTATCTTCTTCTAATCCAGTTCCCACCGTGCCTGTTAGTTTTCTGCCTCATTCATATTTCCCCATTTTCCAACACCCTCTTATCCCCCTCAACCTGCTTACTCTGATCTTCTAGTAGATTTTCTTCTCTCCCCTCTCTCTTTAGCACCATATATTTACCAACCTTACCTATTTCTTTCAGTGTCGCTTCTCACAATTATCACACTCCCAGTTTCCCTGACTCTCTTGCTTTCTTCATGCCAACCTTAGCTTTTAGTCATGGCTTAGTACACCTCTAAGTCTCCCATCTCTCTCTGAGAATCTTCCTGTTCATCCAATCTTTGTCACCTTATTCATGCATGGTTTCAGTGAACACTTATATACTCAGGCCTCACCTTTACCTCTGCATACCTTCCAACTTTGTGTTTCACTACTGTTACTCCTTTTCCACAATCTTCCTCCAGCAGGTCACCTTCTCCTGTCTTCTTTCAGGTTTTTCTATGAACTTGTTTGCTGAAGTGCTTTGAAAACTTCGCTGAGAAGATAAATAATAGGAAGTTCACACATCCGTTTATCACCTAACACAATATTACTTCAGTTTCTTTTTATAATATAGATTGCAAAGTGGAGAAATAGGAGTGTTTCTTAAGCAGCATCAGTTAGACTTACATCCACCTCAGACCCCTCCTCCTTCACACCAGACTAGAGTCTCACAAGTATTTAAGAATCCATTTTAAATTTCTATTCTACAGTCTTTAGAACAACGTCATTGTTTGATTCCTAGGTGAAGCCTGGGACTGGACCCTGGCACAGCTTGTAGCCAGTGCTGCTGGCTCCACCTAGGAGTTCCCTAGCAGATACCTTAGGTTATGTCCACACAATTAGGCAAAGTGCGTGCTTCGGGTTCTTGAGTTACACACTGCATGTATTTTTGTATCTTTATTGCAGCAATTAACTCAGTCATGATTTCACATAGAGCTCAGGTGGATACCACCACTTAATTCAAGTAGTAGAGATATCCCGTACAAAAGTTACAGTCTGCAGGGTTGTAGCTGTTCTAGAAATGCCCACTGGGCTCCTGAGTGCTTAGCTCCTTTCATCTTTGCTTAGTGTTGGGTTAAACCACTTCTTAGCATCTTGTTCCTGAAGAGTACACTCTTTGAACAGAACTGATTTTGAGAGTGG